TCATCAAACCGCCGGCTGCAAGGTGGGCATGAGCAGCCTGCGACAGGTGAGGAAACCCTGCAGATACGACAGCTAATCCATGGCAGAGACCTGATTTAGCCCTCTTGCTCCAGCACCCTGGCTATCATGGACGGCTGCCGGTGTCAGCCGGGGCAACTACTTTCGTGTAAACGCTCTTTACCGGGAGCAGAGGGGGCCACGCTGGGCTCCTGGGAAAGCCCTTTCTTCCTTCCTGGATCTGTGAGGCTGGAGACAGCACTCTAGAATCTATTCTGTCGAGCAAAGCAGCCAACCCAGGGACAAGGCAGGGATGACGGAGGAGCTATGACTTTGGGCAGTCACCGCGGTCCAGAACGCTGGAATCAGACACAGAGCCTCCGGGTGAAGGAAGAGGTCGAATCACAGGGAGGGACCACAGGACCGTGGAAACTGCAGGTGCCTGGGCATGGACAGCAGCTCTCGGCAGCTCGGCTCGTCCTGCTGACTTTCTGTGCGCGCGCACACACATTCCTAGTATATAGCACAAGAAAAAATCTCATGGATCCCACCCACCTCTGGATGGTGTGATGATCAGAGACAGATGTGAAAAGTATCCTGAAAAAGCTGAACATTGCTCAGAGGAACGGCCATTGCGTTCTGTCTAATGGGGTAAAGACACAGAGCGCATAGTCCAGGTCAAGATCTGCCTAAGGGTTTAGTGGCCCCTCTAGCCGACCTCCCTGCAGGGGCACCTGAGGGTGGGCAGAACCCTCCAGTATCTCAGCATGGGCTCCGCTGTGGGCACCGACACTCCTCTCCCCTCTGTGTGGACCCGGCCCCCAGCCCTGCCCCTCCTGGACACCACTCCCATTCCACCTGGCCTCGGCCATCACTTAAAAAATACCCCCTTCCCCGGGGGCAGGAATGGCCCTCTAGCCATGGAGCGCCTGGCCAACAGCGCCACCTACGGATGGATGCTCGCAGGAGATGGGACCCAGAGGATCTGCCCCCAGATGAATTTTTTGGTGAGCTAGCTAGCCTCTCTCGTCTCACTCCCTCGTAATCACATTTCTGCCTGATATCTGTATTCGACAGTGACCTCTGGGGGACAGAAGAGGGGCAGCAGCCAGCTCCACAAAGTGCTGGGCTGCAGATTCAAGTGCTATCAGAAGCACTTTTGCTCCCAGTTTGGACACAGGGCCTCTTCGCCAGGGAATGCTTGCTGAAGCACGGAGTTTGTTTTCCTAGAGGCAATTTCACTGTTGTCCGAAATTGCTAAATTCCACTTTAGGCACTGACTCCTGTTAATGATGAGAACAATAACGGGAATAAACGGCCTTTTATCTGAGGGCTTGAAAGTGCTTTATAAACGCAAACCCTTATTATTATGACTTTGTATTTATAGACAAGGCCCACTGCAGGGGCTGCTGGCTACATGTACAGCAATAACCCTGAAATTAATTCATTCATCTCCACCCTTCCCCTGTCCCCTTAACCCTGCCAAAGGGATGGGGCTTGGGGGTCATAAAAGGTAGAGCCCAGGGCTGCACTGGGGAAGCCTGGGAACCCTCCCTGCCTCCCTGTGGACCTCACAGGCCTGCGGGAGGAGAGGCCACAGCATGCTGCTGAGAAGGTGGGGAGGAGCCGGGGCCTCCCTGCAGCATGTAAAGCAGTGGGTGGGGGCATCCCAGGTGAGGCTTAGCACTCAGCAGGTGTACAGGTACCTCCTAAGACCTCCCATCTCGATGTCCAAGTCTGTCTCGCGGGAGGCAGCCTGTGCTGCAGTAACAGCTCTGGTCCCGGTCAAGTCCGAGTCATTTCAGGGCCAGTCCTTCAGGCCCCAAACAGGGCTCTCCTTTTCTAGGACCAGCCAGTGCTTCAAAACCAAAATGGGATCAGTGTATTTCCAGGATGGACGTGTGTCTAGGCCACTTCTGTCCTTCTAACCCGCAGTTTGCCTCTTCCCTAACAGGTCACAAAGGGAAGCTGAGGACCCCTCATGCAAGGGACTTCCCAGAGGCCAGAGCTTCTGCCCACTGCCCCTCAGTCCTGGAGGGATCAAGTTTCTTGCTGCCCTGTCCTCAAAGTCCTGGAACTGCTACCCTCAACAGGTGTGCCTTCCAGGCCAGGGCTCCCTGCCAGCACTTAAGTGACGGCACCAGGCCAAGATCCGTGGACTGGAGCCAGTCAGGACAGTCGGGAGAACCTCACAGCACAGCCTCCTGAGGTTGACAGTTAATGCCACATGACTTCCTCATCCGTCACTCATTCCACAAACACTTTCTGAGCCCCACCATGTTCCGTGTACTGGTGAGACCTCGTTCCAGTCTCCCTGTCCTGATGAGGCTAATGACACTACCCAAGCTGGTCCTCAGAAAAGCAGCCCTTCCCTGGCCTTCCTTCCTCTGTCGGAGTTAGAGGCAGGAGCTTCTCTACCTTCCAGGGCAGGGGTGGGGGCAGTATGAGACCTCCCAGGTCAAGCCCGCCCTACACCTGCTCAGACACGAGTGGACAGGTGCCCCCCACGCCACTCACTTTTTGTTGGTCGTTCTGACAATGATGCAGCGCTCTTTCTGGTCCACACAGATGCTGTAGACGTCCTTGGGGTAGGGGAGGTTCCGAATTCGCCACTGGAAACTCATCTTGGTGTCCTTGCGCATGAAGATGGGCTGCAGAAGGCAAATCCAACTGGAGGCTGTTCTCAGGGATGGGGACGGCTCCCACTCTCCTCCTGGCTCTACCCAGGGCACCACAGGAGGTCCTCCGCTCTTCTCCACAGCTGCCCTGAGGCTGCTACTGCTGTGACATTCCTCCAGCCCCAAGATTATGGAACCAAAACCCTTTGGGTATTCATTCAAATAGTCTGAGGGTACAGTGAATAAGACATGGTTCCTGCCTTCGAGGACAAGCAGCCTATCCCCATGAAACCCTACAAGACACCTGGACAGACAGACATACATTGGCGTTGCTTTCCTTGATGAGTTCAGGCCCCAGGCTCCCTGCTCCTGGGGGTGCTGGCTCTCCCACTTCAAGCTGCCACTGGCCCAAGGCTCCCAGGGCACTCTTCACGCGCCACTTTCTCACTGGGGAAGGAAGCAGCAATGGGGTTATCGGGAAGCAAGGTGTCTGCTTTCCTGTGGGTCGCTGACATCACACGGCAGCTGGATCAAAGGGGGAGCTCTGGGCCATTACATGGAGCTTTGTGCCCCTGGGCAGGGACCTCACTACCTCTGGAGAGTGCAAAGCCCATCTCATGGGCGCCCAGACAACAGGAACTGGACAACAGCTTGGAGAGGAGTCAGGGGAGTCAAGAAAGCCTCAGGTGTGGCTTCAAGCAGGATGTAAGATAAGAGGGTTGGAAAAGTGTGGTTTCTTTTTTTTGAGAGGTTTTTCACTATAGGGCGTGTGCACTCACCAGACAGAGAGAGACATAGAGACAGAAAGCGAGAAATCACCCCCCGGCGGGGATGGTCACGCCACAATCCCTTCTCCTCCATTCTCCTCTCGGGATCTTGGGCACACACGCACACGCGCCCGGCATGAGTTTTAAGCCACCGGGTCCGGGATGCGAACCGTGGTTGACTATGTGGGAGTCCAGCGACATAGCCATTGTGGGAGGCTGCGCAT